AGCAACGCCGGAGGAGAGGCACCTTCGGGGGCGGCTCTGGGGAGCGAGGCTGAGGAGGACGCTTCCCCTCGTCAGAATTCAGTGATTGGACTGCGAGGGAAATCGTCTTCCAGAGAACGGGCTGTCCGGGATGAGGAAAACGTTTCGCCGCAGGGGGCTTTGAGTGGGTGGGCGTTAGACTGCGGTTCCTGGTCAGGGTCCGTATTCAAGCCCCGGCCTTGTAGGTCTCGTGCAGATTGGTCCTTCTTTGCCTCAGAGTCGCTTCCTCGTTAGCAGAGCAGTAGCCCTGTGCGGCCTGCTAATTGCCTTACCGTCCGGCCTCACTTTCTGTTGGAGGCCTTTTCAGGTGCTGCCCGGGTTTAGAGCGTCTCTACCTTATTTTCTCTGAACGTTTTACGTGAAACTGCTGACAGCGGGAAAAGGAAGGGTTACACTCTTTTTTTTCTTAAAGAAAACGATTCTATTTTTCTCTTGTGAGATTGGCCTACCTGCCTATAAAGGAGGAATGGGAGGAGGCGATTTCCCCACAGGGCCAGGAGATTGTGTTATAAAAACTTAGCCCCCCCCTTTTTTTTTTGAATTGACAAAAAGTAACACAGGGTATGGGAATCCTGTTGGTTTCAAAGCAGGTTTGGGAAGGGAATATTTATTCATTTAACGCGTTTCTATAGCTGTCGATATGCCCAGGGAATTCTGGTGAACAGAGATGAAATTGGAATACAAACTGGTATAATTGCAGATAACAGAGAAAGGGGAAAAACAAATTCCAGAGATGCTGATGTTGCTGCTGCTTCTTATGGCACAAGTTTTGAGAAATTAAACTCAAAGACAAGAAAGAAATGGAACTATGATAAGACCTTTATCACTTTGGTTTTACATAAACTGGCAAGAAAGAAATTGGACTGTGTTGAAAATAATAACAATCATCTGAATCCTGCAAAATTGTAAAGACCAAAGGATTGTAGGACAGTAACATGATGGAGAGAGGGCAGAGCTCCTCAGCTCTTACTTTGCTTTAGTCTTCCCAAAGGGGAACTATATTCAAATAGACCTAAACAGAACAATTAATATAGGAAAGAGTAGCAACCCAAAGTAAGTCAATAGTGATTACTAGCTATCATGAATGAGTTTAAATTTTCAGGAGCAGCTCAATTGCAACCAAATCTCAAAGGAGCTTATGTTATTTCAGAGCTCTTTTCTATGACCTTTGAGAATTCATGAATGGGTTTAGCCCCAGAAGATTGGAGAAGAGTAAATGTTCCTAACTTCAAAAAGGGTAGAACAAAGAAAGAGCTGGGTAATTACAGACCAGTCAACCTGACATCAGTACTGATTATAACTCTCTAACAGGTTATTCAGCAGCTGGTTTGTGAGCATTTCTAGCAGGAGCCAGGATGGGTTTGTCAAGAACAAGGTTTGCCAAACCAGGACAATTTCTTTCTTTGATAAGTGACCACAGGAATTCCAATGGACATACTGTAGTTTAGCTTGAATTTAGCAAAGCATTTGACTAAGCGTCCTATGAAATCTCTAGTAAAGTTGACAGCATGTGAGCTGAATTATGCTACAATTAGATAAATATGTAACTGGTTGAACAGTCACATCCAACCAGTGTGTCAATGGCTCCACATCAAGGTGGACAGTGGTAAATGGTGTACCACAGGACTCCGTTCTACTTCCTGTATTCTCCAATATATTTGTCAATGACCTGGATGAGATGTTAGAAAATATGAGGGGCAAATACTATGGTGCAGCTGCAAAATAAGCAAGTGTCTTCCTGGGCTGCATGAACAGAAGAATAATGTGATGATCAAGAAAAATCATCATCCTTCTCTACTTTGTATTGGTCAGATTGCACCTAGATTATTGTACCCCGTTCTGGGTGTCGCAGTTTAGGAAGGACATTGACAATCCAGAGGATAGCTACCAAGATGATAAGAGGTCTGGAAGGAAAACTTATAATGACTGGGGACACTGGGTATGTTTAACCTGGCAAAGAGAAGACTGCAGGGAGACTTGATAGAAGAGTGAGCGAAATTGTTGGGTTGTCCCAGAAGACACAACAACAACAACAACAAATTATGAGGAAGCAAATTTTGGTTGGACTTCATGAAAAAGAATACCTAATGGTGAGAGCTGTTCAACAATGGAACAGACTGCCTTGGGAGGTGATGGACTCGTCTTTGCTGGAAGGTTTTAACAGGCTGGACGGGCATTCTTCAGGGACACTGTAGTAGGTGTTCCTGGCACTGGGCACGGGTGGACTAGATGATCTCCATGATCTCTTCCAACTGTTACATTCTGTGATGCAGGTCTACCAACTCAGTGGTTTATTTAGCAAAGCATGGCTAAACAAACCAGAATTTCGTGTAAGCCCAATCCAAATACAGGAAGTTAAGAAAGCCACTAATACATTTACATTAGAATTATAGAAACCTAATTACAAGTTTGGTAGAAACGAACAAACCAATTTGGTGGTGTAGTTAAGGCATCAGGCTAGAAACCAAAAGACCATGAGTTCTAGTCCCACCTAGGCACAAGGCCAGCTGGGTGACCTTGGGCCAGTTGCTCACTCTCAGCCCTAGGAAGCAGTCAAAGAAAACTAGGGACTAGTCCAGGCAATTGCCAGGAGTCAAACAAATGACTAGAAGGCATTTTTTTAAAAAAAGCATGGTTAAACCAAGTCTGGCTTAGGTGTTGTACAACCAGGTCTCTTATTTATAATAACTCAGATCCCTAGTCCTTAAGTTACATCTCAGCTAAAGTTTTAGAATGATGACAAAATCATTGAAAGATTTACTGATTTTTTTTTCACTCAGAATTATTATAAAATTGTTTTTTGCTCCTAAAAGCTCAATCTTGTTGCTTATTCAAGCCATGTCCTATATCTTCAAACCAGGTTTCTTGTAACATGCAAGGGAAAAAAACCACAGTCTTTGGCTTTACATATGTTCCATGTTGATTATGGACAAAACTTTTGAAAGAATAAACATGTCATCCTCTGTGTTACTGCAACCCCAGGCAACAGTGTTCATTAAACCATGAATGTGTTATACAAGCACAGCAAAAATTAGTAAATATGGTTTAAACAGAGAGAATAAAGCAAGCCTCAGTGCAAGTAACATCTAGTAAATCTGATGCTAGAACTGTTTATACTAGGCAGTTGACTTTAGGTGGAGAGGATTTTTGTGGCCTCATACCTTTGATCTGAATAACTGCCTTTGTAACAATATATTATGAAAACTTCCCCAGGTGTGGTGTTTTTTTTTTAATCTGTTCACGTGATCTTAGCAACTGCCTGGACAAGTCCCTGCAGCTTTCTTGGCAAGGTTTTTCAAAAGTAGTTTGCCATTGCCTCCTTCCTAGAGCTGAGAGAAAGTGACTGGCCCAAGGTCACCCAGCTGGCTTTGTGCCTAGGCAGGACTAGAACTCGCAGTCTTTTGGTTTCTAGCCTGATGCCTTAACCACTACACCAAATTGGTTTGTTCGTTTTTACCAAACTTGTAATTAGGTTTCTATAATTCTAATGTAAATTTATGAGTGGCTTGGACTAGAGGTGGGACTAGAATCCATGGTCTCCCAGTTTCTAGCCTAGTGCCTTAACCACTACACCAAACTGGCTCTCAACCAAGGTTAATTGACTGGATTTATATCATAAACAAAAATTTACATATCACAGTAGCTGGAATCACACAGTACCAAAAGCCCAAACAAAGCAGATGGTGCTTTCTCCTGTTGAATGAACCAGGCCAAAATGTTTTCCAGGGTTCATCTATCCTCTTATGAGGTGGCCTTAGGTGAACCTCTCTCAGTTGAGGCCTCCGTTTGCAATATGTGGCAACATCACCTAACTTGATAATGCTGTTGCAGAAATTACAACATATGTAAAATAGTGTCTATATTTACATATGGCTCAGTTTGAATAACACTCTGAGCCATAAATTTGCCAGTCGCATTTTAACCTAGTGTGTTGAGTAAACTCAGACTACTTGGTGAATTTACTATATGGCTTAATGTGCCATGTGCTCCCAGAAAACTCTTGAAGAAATAACGTTGATGTGTATAAGGATGTAATACAACTGCCTCCATGTTGTTAATGGCTGTCTTTATTCTTTTGGCAAGATGCTGTAGTACAGCATTTATGTCCATGTGTTGGGGCGGGGTTAAATGTGGCAGTTTGAACAATTTCATTGTCTGTTTCTCAGTACAGTATGTTGTATGAATATAGCCTCCATATGGGCCAATGTAAGTAAATGCCCTGCTTGCACATTTAGGAATATTTTATAGATAGGCTGCATTCAATCCAAACGTGCTGTTTGAGGCTGGATGAATCTAGCCATTATGATTGGTAAACAGTAGTTTATGATTAGCATGTTGTGTGATTGAATTGAGCTAATTTTTCAGTAAATTGTGGTTAATAACAGCTTAGCATGCTGTGTGAACACAGTAAAAGCCACTGGCTGAGGTTTTTTTTATCAGCTCAATTTTCACATTTGGGAACTAGTCTATTGTTAACTACAGCTGTTTCCATGGTATTGTTCCATTTTTGCTGCAATGACATAAAGCCTGTCTGCATTAGTGACATTTCACAGTGAGGATGTTTCTGGCAAGGGTGGCTCAGCACCAAGCGACTTCATAGACATGCCCATTTTGTTTTCTTCGCAGCAAAGAAAAGCAGCCTGCATTCCTCCAGAATGTTTTCCAGCTTCTCAATCTAGCGTACAGTCTGATATTCACTGGGGGCCCCCCAGTCAGTTACTGAAAAGGCCCCACTCAGCTTAGCTTTCCAACCCCGGCATGGTCTGCCAGTTGCTGCCACCTGCTGATGCTGTTCTGGCATTATTCTAAACATCTGTTCTGGCAACGAACGGCCTCAACTTCATTAGAGACGTGGAGATTTATACTTCTGTGGCAAACCACCAACACATTTTTCTTCAACTGGCCTAAATGACACACAAAGGATACAGACGGGTGATTATCATGACAATGGCCTTTCACAAATAGTTTTGGGTATAATTTTGCATCAGTGAACCAATTAACACTTGCCTCTGCACTGCTGTCACGGGCTACTAAAGTAACTGCAATCAGTTCTGATTATCCTGTCCCTACAGCAGCTACCCATTATCCATATTATAGATGTTTTACACCACACCCTAAATACTACGTTTAAACTACCATCTTGTGCAAACTCAGTGCATGAGGTTAATGCATGGTTCAGTGTGTCTTGCACCCCCACCCCCCAAAAATTACTTGGCTAACCCATGGCCCAGTTAACCAGGTGAATGTTATGCTGGAGATACCATCTGCCTAAAATAATGGCTGAGTAACTCCGAGCATGCGACCTCATATAATAAAGCCTTCACAAAGTATACTTTGACCCAAACGAGCCAGTTACGTCATACTACGTGAACTTGATCTACGGCCGCTCCCTCAAGGACCCGCACAGCTCAACCAAGCTTGTCCCTGTTACGTCACCAGCTCCACTGACAACGAAATACAGCCAAGCCAAGAGGCGACAGGCGAATCGATTGGACCAGCCCCTCTGCATTGCCGTCATTGGCTAATCTCTCCATTTCTGTCGTGATTGGTCAGTTTCCAAAGAATGCCCCTCGTTCACTAGATTGTAATTGGTCGGCGGCCTTTCAATTGGCCCACTGGCTCGCTTTTAATCCCACCCTCGCGTGCTGGTATTGGCTAAATCGGTCTCCGTTTGAGGACATTGATTGGTCCGCCTTCTTTTTCGATGAAAAGCGCCGCTGAGGGAGCGATGGAGCTTTAAAGTCCTAAGAAAATAGGAACGCAGAGGCGCTTCGGCTTTTTTCAGCCACGCTCTAGAAATGGAGCTAACTTATCAATCGTTGCGAACGACGTACCAGGTCAAAGAAGAAGTGAGTGAAAAGTTCCTGTTTCCCCAGTAACTATGGTAACCGTGGGGGAGGGCGGGGCTCGCGGCTCATTCGCTCTGGGAGAGTCGCGCCCGCCTGGCGCATGCGTTTTAGCGCTGTCGGGCAAAGGGCGGCCTGACGTTCAGCGGCCCTCGCTGGGCCGGGCCTCTGCTGTACGACTGCCTCCTCCGAGCTCCCGGTGAAGGGCAGCGTTGGGAAGGAGGTGGAA